TTGTGGGTTTATTCGTTATCTACACTTCAGAAGCATAAAATGCACTTTCAACTGCTCCTTCACCCAAGAACAATTATTATAAAAACAGAAACCGCTGAAGGTACAAATTGAAGGTCCTCCTCCTCCCTCCAGTCTGCCTGTGCTGTGACATTGGGGACAGTGACATTCTCTGTCACTATGAGAACAGGAACATAGGCCTGTACTAGGGCTGGGAATTGCCAGGGACCTCACGATACGATATTATCACAATACTTGAGTGCTGATACGATATGTATTGCGATTCTCATGATTCTATATGTAATGTGATTCGATACAGTGATTATTGCGATTTGATGTTCCAAACATATTGCTCACCATATGTCTGCTGCAGAGGGACAAGAGAGAGCAGGAGAAAACGAGTTTTGATCAGTCATGGAAATAAAAGTGCTAAAAACACATTTGCTCCCCATTTAAAAAGATGGAGAACAAGCTATGAAGTAAAAATACTGGAGTTTTGGTGCAGGTTCAACTAACTAGCGCAAAAATAATATTGCGATATTATCAAAACCATACATCGTCAAAAACAATATCCCGATATGTAACTACAGTGGGGAGAACAAGTATTTGATACACTGCCGATTTTGCAGGTTTTCCTACTTACAAAGCATGTAGAGGTCTGTAATTTTTATCATAGGTACACTTCAACTGTGAGAGACGGAATCTAAAACAAAAATCCAGAAAATCACATTGTATGATTTTTAAGTAATTAATATGCATTTTATTGCATGACATAAGTATTTGATAACCTACCAACCAGTAAGAATTCCGGCTCTCACAGACCTGTTAGTTTTTCTTTAAGAAGCCCTCCTGTTCTCCACTCATTACCTGTATTAACTGCAACTGTTTGAACTCGTTACCTGTATAAAAGACACCTGTCCACACACTCAATCAAACAGACTCCAACCTCTCCACAATGGCCAAGACCAGAGAGCTGTGTAAGGACATCAGGGATAAAATTGTAGACCTGCACAAGGCTGGGATGGGCTACAGGACAATAGGCAAGCAGCTTGGTGAGAAGGCAACAACTGTTGGCGCAATTATTAGAAAATGGAAGAAGTTCAAGATGACGGTCAATCACCCTCGGTCTGGGGCTCCATGCAAGATCTCACCTTGTGGGGCATCAATGATCATGAGGAAGGTGAGGGATCAGCCCAGAACTACACGGCAGGACCTGGTCAATGACCTGAAGAGAGCTGGGACCACAGTCTCAAAGAAAACCATTAGTAACACACTACGCCGTCATGGATTAAAATCCTGCAGCGCACGCAAGGTCCCCCTGCTCAAGCCAGCGCATGTCCAGGCCCGTCTGAAGTTTGCCAATGACCATCTGGATGATCCAGAGGAGGAATGGGAGAAGGTCATGTGGTCTGATGAGACAAAAATTGAGCTTTTTGGTCTAAACTCCACTCGCCGTGTTTGGAGGAAGAAGAAGGATGAGTACAACCCCAAGAACACCATCCCAACCGTGAATCATTGAGGTGGAAACATCATTCTTTGGGGATGCTTTTCTGCAAAGGGGATAGGACGACTGCACCGTATTGAGGGGAGGATGGATGGGGCCATGTATCGCGAGATCTTGGCCAACAACCTCCTTCCCTCAGTAAGAGCATTGAAGATGGGTCGTGGCTGGGTCTTCCAGCATGACAACGACCCGAAACACACAGCCAGGGCAACTAAGGAGTGGCTCCGTAAGAAGCATCAAGGTCCTGGAGTGGCCTAGCCAGTCTCCAGACCTGAACCCAATAGAAAATCTTTGAAGGGAGCTGAAAGTCCGTATTGCCCAGCGACAGCCCCGAAACCTGAAGGATCTAGGTCTGTATGGAGGTCTGTATGGAGGAGTGGGCCAAAATCCCTGCTGCAGTGTGTGCAAACCTGGTCAAGACCTACAGGAAACGTATGATCTCTGTAATTGCAAACAAAGGTTTCTGTACCAAATATTAAGTTCTGCTTTTCTGATGTGTCAAATACTTATGTCATGCACTAAAATGCAAATTCATTACTTAAAAATCATACAATGTGATTTTCTAGATTTTTGTTTTAGATTCCGTCTCTCACAGTTGAAGTGTACCTATGATAAAAATTACAGAACTCTGCATGCTTTGTAAGTAGGAAAACCTGCAAAATCGGCAGTGTATCAAATACTTGTTCTCCCCACTGTATATGTAATATTTATCCCCCACCCCCCATCAGTAGCCTGCACCTGTATGCCAGCTGTCAAACATCTGTCCACTCTGTCCAACCTGGCGCCCCTCAGTCACTCTGGCATTGACACATGACATGCACAGCTGTCATCAACAGCCATTTATATCAGCAATTGCATTGACACAAGAGGTCAAAATGTGAGCGCTGTGTGTGCATCCAATGTGTGACCTCAAAGCTCTTTAATACACATCTCATATTATTGAGCAATGTTAAGTATTTTATTAGCAGCGTTCCATCTGACTCTTCAAATCCCGAGGTCAGGACAGGAGGTCAGCCATATAACCGTCACTCTGGGCTCTAAAGGTGTCCGCATACTAGGTTCGGTTTGCTCCTAGCAGAACTCGGCTAGGCGAAGCAAACATCTGTGCCTCGCATACTCCCTTAAAAAGACCTTCGCTTGAAAAACTAGAAAAAAGCAGCAATATTACGGTTTGTCCCTCCTGAGACGCCATAGAAAAAGTCAAGTCAATACTAAGATAAATCAAGAAATCTGTCATTTCATTTTAAGTTTTTGCCGAAGGTCTTAGTCGCTCAATTTTACATCTAACCAAGATGTTTGGTAAAGTATTTCTCAAGTAAAAAATGTTTTGCATGTCGTCTCTCGTTGAATGACAAACACTTCATTGAAGAATCCCGTCTATTGTTCCCACTCCTACTAGTAGTACTGTTGACCAATCACCAACGAAGGGGCGTAGACTTCGGCTACCGAACTTAGACTTACCTCAAGAAAAAAGTGTGCTCGAACAGCCCAAAAAAACCAGCCGAACACCAAAAGACAGAACATTGTCATAATTTATGTGCGAACTGTTTCGACTGGGAAGCATGTGACAGGCTTAATGGGCCATCATATGGTTGGTAGGAACCTGGCACTGTTGTATGAATGCTGATCCAAGCATGTTTGGAGTGTCTTGAGCTTGCCAATCCAGCCTCAAAAACAGCTGGATACATAAGGTGTTCAGAGCAACTTGATTAAAGACATGCTCCAGAACTTTGGCGACTATTGTTTTGGGCTGGATGTGTCAATGTGTAGTTCATACATGCATAATCTATGAGCCGTATTATTGTATTACCTCAATTAGACACAAAATCCATAGTTTGAAAGCGACTTTTTCTGAAAACTGTAATGCGCCATTTTCCCTCAATTTTCCCCCAAGTGTGCCAGCCCTCTAGCAATTCGATTTTCTAGCCAATTAACTTCACCCCCTCACCATTTGAGTGTCAGCTAGCAAGATGCACACAGCAGAGCGAGAGAGACGTGGCGCAAATATGTGACATAGTATGCCATTTTCAGGAACCACTTTTGGCTTGTGAGCTCTACTTTCAGAACTACTGGCTAAAAAGTATACAAATGTATCGGAAAATCTCTTTCATGCTTTCAGTCTCTAGACATATTCACATATAAATCCCTGGTGGGTTCAATATCATGCTTTAGTCTAGTCTATACACCAATGCCCTTCACATACACCCCATTAGCATTACAACCTTGCGTGTCATACGCTTATTTATTTTACCCTTGTGTTTTATGATTGCTCAATTCTATGTGTGTTTGTGCACTCAGGTTAATTTATCAGTTCATTGATGGTCATCTTGGCCTGATAAGGGAGGAGGGGGGTGGGGTTTTAAATGTCAGACCTGACAGGCAGAGATAGAGAGAGACGGCAGTGCTGTGCTCTGTGCTGTTGTGGCCCCCAGCATAAGCAATAGAGGCCTGGGATATGCCAGCTGTGATGGGACTCACACAAAATATCCCAAACCACACATATTGTATATGGCCGTATGCAGCCACACACATAGACAAACGGCATAGACTAGTACTGACGTGGGCCCTCGCCCCCCAGGTTGTAAACTCACAACATGCACACACGCTCGCTCTTATACACACATACTTTATATCATGGTCCATTGTCCACGTATATGCCCATCCCCCACACGCACAGCCCCTCCATGCAGCACCAGTCTAGTGATGTGACCGTCTATGAGCTGGGCCAGTGAAAAATAGTTCACAGTAAGTTTTGTGTATGGTGTACGGCACACTCACTCACCACGTTCTTTCCATTGGCCCTATTTGTGTGTGGCTGTATCTTTCTGCCTCAGCGAGTCATTGTAAACATGCCTCACAAAGCTAAAATAGCAATTCTCTCTCCCCCCCCCCCCCCCCGCTCTCCCTCTGAGTAATCTGGTCCTCAGCGTGACCTCATTTTAAAGCCTGGCCAATCAGAAGACCCTGCATCACTCAAACTCAAATATATACACATTATGCTTATTAGACTACAAAGGGAGACTTTGTATTTCCGTGACTTGAGTTCTTTTTTTAAAGAGAAACAGAGTCCCTGTGGCAGACCCTGAGAGACTCAGTGAGGGACACAGCACTGTCAGCAGACCCAACACTGCAGTGCACAGGAGTTTAAGTTAGACAAACAGAAACACACAAGAAAGCTGCTGTGTACAGTATTTACTTTGTACAGTAATGGTGAGTCAGATTGGAATCATCCAATTATTGTAATATTATAGTGATATGAGATAGGAATCATTCAGCCCCGTTCCTAATCACAGTCCATTTTGATGGACAAGAAATGTATTCACTTTGTCTACACATTTCTTATCTACATATATATATTTTTATGTAATGTCTTATCTATGTGCATATATTTTATGTTTTGGGAACTGCAATCAGAAAAGGTGCCTAGCAGTCTTGAAAGTAGGCCTCAGGTAAAGCCCTGAGGAAGAGGGGTGGTAATAATGATGATGAAGGCTTACTTGATCACAGTGGAGACAGGCGGTCCTTTGTCCTTGAGCTCCTGAATGTTGACCAACTGGGGAACGGTCTTCAGGGTAGACTCTACCAGAGAAGAACTGACCACTGGTTGACCACAAAGGAGAAAAGTAAATGACAATTCGTCATTACAACTGACATTGGGACAACCAGATATAAACAAAAGTGACAAAATTGGTGCAAAAGCATGTTACTATTCTTGCAAAGCATGTAAACATTTTAATCGAACTATTATATTAATCTGACTATCCACAATAATCAACATAATTGTGTGCATGTAACAGCACACATTATGTTGGGTTACTGACACAGATGTATACTATCATGAATAGGTCTAATAGATTAAAAGTACTGTTTAAATAATTAAATGTATTGATTAAAGTATTATCAACAATAATTCTGCATAGTAAAACCATGGGCTGTCAGTTCACCACGGATCCTGAGGTCTTTGTCTCCCCCTGGTGTCTGAGTATCAAAATGACATTGAGTTTTACTGTTCAAAGTCAACAGACGGTGAGCAGAATAGCTCTACCAGTCACTAAAGCTCTGCTGGTCAATACATCGGAGTGTCAAACTGGGAGTTACAGTGACAGAAAATCAGTCACAAAGGCAATACACTTTCCATTATTTGCAACCTCTACAACGGTCATGCCCCACCTACCCGTTTTCTGATTAGCCATCTGCCTGAGGAAAGCGGCTTTAGCAGCAGCCTGTTGGGCAGGGAGGGGGACGGGTATGGCCTTCTCAGTGGGAGGGGCTCCGTGCTTCACCGTCTTAGTGGCTAGTGCCGTGCTGTCAGCACCTCCCATGTTGATCTTATTGGTTGGAACTAGAAAATCGCTAAAGATGTTAGTACATTTGATGACTTATTGTACAACAGACCAGCTCTCTGAAAACCACATAGAACAGCACTTTGCCATATGGTTGGCTGTCCCCTCTCTGTCCTGATGGTTGTTACTAGAAGATAAAACATGCAATACAAACTACATAGTACAACACAACAGCAGTTTCAGAACTTCTTGTTCTCTGACCAACCTGGTTAAAATAAAGGTAAACTAAAAAGTCAATGGAGTTTCCTACCTGTGCTTATGATGGGGCTGAGTCCCAGGCCCATGCCCAGGCCCTGGTGCACCTTGCTGAAAGGAGTGGACTGGATGGCCCCAAACCCTGGGGCTATGGAAGGGGTGCGTACTACCGTGGGGTGGCGGGGCATAGAGGCGGGCAGCACGGGGAGGGGGGCAGGCTCGGGCTCCTCCTCCTCCTCAAAACAGTGGGAGTAGTCGGGCTCCAGGGCCTGAGACAGAGAGGAGGTGGAGCTCACATCGTCCATGTCCTCATAGTATTTGGGAGAGAGGAAGGCCGAGCGGGACAGGTTGGCTGGAGTAAAAGATGGAACCATTCAGGAGAGGTACATTCCACACATTACTTACACTACTCACTATGTTCTGTGTGTTGGGAGTACCTGGAGCGGTGGAGCGGACTGGTGGTGTCTGCCTCTTGGAGAGGAAGTTACGCAATTGAGACTGCTTCACCGGAGACATCTTGGCTGAAGAAGTGGAAAGAGTCATATTACATTTATGTCACTCAAGAACAATAGTTAACACTGTGAGACATGTGTTGGAAAAATAAAGTATTTTACCTGGAGATTTCGAGGTGGTCTTGGGAATGGTCTCCAGACTGGCTTTCAGGAGTGCATCTCTCAAACTCTCCAGCTCGTTGTCCAAACTAGTAAACACAGAAGTAATTCATAAGAAGTGATAGCCTACTTCGTTTTTCATCCACTACGCATCATTCTTTGCAACACACACATGCCCCAGTGAACATTTTGACATATAAAAAAACTAAACTGACTCCAAAAACATCCTCATGCTGCAACATATCTGGCCATTGTATTTCAGGTATACACCCTTGTACACACCCCTGTTCTGTGGGGGTGGCTGCAGCGGGCTGGCTGGGGGCAGGAGCACTCCAGGCAGCAGTCTTGTTGTAGAGCCGCAGGGCATGGAGATCTTTGACCAGTGTGTCCAGCCTCTGCTTCTGCTGGTTGATGATGTCTAGGTTGTTGGCCAGGGCCTTGAACAGAGCCTCCCTTTCTGGGACAATCATGTGTCTGGGAGAGACAGGAGACACAGAGGGAATTGGTTAGAAAGGAAACATTCAACATACAATGATAATGAGAAATAGTCATAGGAAATTAATTACAGGTCAAAAATGTAAGTGATCTATTATTTTTTCTTCTCCCTCACTTCTGTTTCTTCTTCTTCTTCTCCAGATGTTTCTCCCACTCCAGGTCCAACACGTCGCTCACATCCTCCACAGCAAACTTCACATACTGGTACAGCCTGCGGATCTCCTAGTTATGGGGAGAAACCACCAGAGGAAATTATCATCCAACAAAACAAAGTCTGCTGTACGAAAAACAGTTTAACATGGGTAATATTTTTCAATAGTGTTCTGCCTTTGCCATTTCTACCACATCCACCCTGATGAATTATAGAAGTTCCATTTACACTTCCTCCCATAAGCCATCACCCTCCTCCACCCCAGGCTTACCTTGAGTTGGTCTTCACTGCGTGGGTCCAGTGGTTTCTTGTAGAGCAGCTGCAGGTAGCCCCTGTCTCTGTTGAGCTCACTCTGGGCCTTGGCGTCCTCTGCCCCGGCAAAGCCCTCCAGCATGGTGGTCTTCAGAGTGCTGATGTCCCCATGGAGAGACTGGGGAGAACAAGAACACACACATGGTCAGAGCCTATGAGGGATAGAAAGGGTCTAGGTCTTTAGGAGGTTGTACTGTGTGTGGTACCAGTTGGTTGAGTGTTATTTTGAATTGGACACAACTGGATACATTAATTAACAATGGCAACTTCACCAAGCTTCATGTCCTGACTCAGACTGGCCTTACATCTCATTTTAATAATACAATCTAAATCAGATTCAGTCCGTACCTCAGTGGTTTCTTTAATCTCCAGGGTGAAGACGTGGAGGTCCTTAGACTCTTTCCTCAGCTCTTTCATCTCCTCTATGGTGCCCACTCTGAAGTCTGCCTTGTGGCTGCGCGCCTTCAGGTCAGCCAGCTCCTTCTGGAAGTGGGCGATCTGAGAGGAACACAATCAGCATGACGCTACCATGATGAACCATGTACTTACTGTAAGTTGGTTGGAGCATGGTGCTGGAAATACCAAAGTTGTGGGTTCGATTCCTTTGTGGGTTAACTATGGTGAATATGTGTGGTTATGACAAGAAATAGCATTAAGTAATACAATTAAAAGTAATTATATAGCAGTAGTTTAAATCTGAAATCCTTACTTGGTGAAACAGCCACGTCCGTTTGGAATATTATACCAAAGAAGTTACTTCAAAACAAAGATTTTTCTGCCCTCTACCATCATTGCACGTGCAAAAGAACACCAGAATATATATATATATATATTTATTTATTTATAGCCACACTGTCGGACGCTCCTCGCCTCTGTTTCATCAACCAAACAAACAATAACAAAGGCGCTGGGGCAAACAGTGGCGCTGTTTCACCTGTGCAGATTTCAGCTTTAAGAGAAAGACCATTGGATTAATCCATTACCTCCTCCAGTATTCCGGCCATGACTGGGTCAGAGTCCTTCCTCTGCTGCAGCTGTCTCTCCAGGGCCTTCACACTCAGCGCTGCCTACAGGAGGGCAAACAGACAGTCTTTACTATTATGACCAGTACTACAAGAAATGGATTGGTGGCCTAATATCTTAGCAGGCTGATGTTTTAGTACCTGTGGAGTGGGTGCACTTGTCTGGGTGGCTGGGGCAGGTTTCTGTACAACCATGGGGGGTGTACTGGTTTGGACTGGGGATGAGACGGAATGGATATCAAGGATCACAAACCAAACTACAACTATACTAATGTTGGTATACAAATTAAAATGGTATTGTTTAATCAAAGCCATTCATATAAATACTGTATGTATGAATTATGCTGTATAAATAAAGCTTATCATTCTCCTTACCTGGCATGGCTGCGGGCTTGGTGGCAATGGGCAGCAGGGCGGGCTGGCTGGTGGGCTCAGAGAAGGCAGGTTTGGGGATGGAGGTGAAGGAGAAGGGCTGGGAGGCTGGAGCTGCAGCTGGAGCAGGGGTCTCCACTGCCAGGAACCTGAGGGACAGAAACAGAAACATACAGTGGGGAAAAAAAGTATTTAGTCAGCCACCAATTGTGCAAGTTCTCCCACTTAAAAAGATGAGAGAGGCCTGTAATTTTCATCATAGGTACACGTCAACTATGACAGACAAATTGAGAAGAAAAAAAAATCCAGAAAATCACATTGTAGGATTTTTACTGAATTTATTTGCAAATTATGGTGGAAAATAAGTATTTGGTCACCTACAAACAAGCAAGATTTCTGGCTCTCACAGACCTGTAACTTCTTTAAGAGGCTCCTCTGTCCTCCACTCGTTACCTGTATTAATGGCACCTGTTTGAACTTGTTATCAGTATAAAAGACACCTATCCACAACCTCAAACAGTCACACTCCAAACTCCACTATGGCCAAGACCAAAGAGCTATCAAAGGACACCAGACACAAAATTGTAGACCTGCACCAGGCTGGGAAGACTGAATCTGCAATAGGTACGCAGCTTGGTTTGAAGAAATCAACTGTGGGAGCAATTATTAGGAAATGGAAGACATACAAGACCACTGATAATCTCCCTCGATCTGGGGCTCCACGCAAGATCTCACCCCGTGGGGTCAAAATTATCACAAGAACGGTGAGCAAAAATCCCAGAACCACACGGGGGGACCTAGTGAATGACCTGCAGACAGCTGGGACCAAAGTAACAATCAGTAACACACTACGCCGCCAGGGACTCAAATCCTGCAGTGCAAGACGTGTCCCCCTGCTTAAGCCAGTACATGTCCAGGCCCGTCTGAAGTTTGCTAGAGTGCATTTGGATGATCCAGAAGAGGATTGGGAGAATGTCATATGGTCAGATGAAACCAAAATAGAACTTTTTGGTAAAAACTCAACTCGTCGTGTTTGGAGGACAAAGAATGCTGAGTTGCATCCAAAGAACACCATACCTACTGTGAAGCATGGGGGTGGAAACATCATGCTTTGGGGCTGTTTTTCTGCAAAGGGACCAGGACGACTGATCCGTGTAAAGGAAAGAATGAATGGGGCCATGTATCGTGAGATTTTAAGTGAAAACCCCCTTCCATCAGCAAGGGCATTGAAGATGAAACGTGGCTGGGTCTTTCAGCATGACAATGATCCCAAACACACCGCCCGGGCAACGAAGGAGTGGCTTCGTAAGAAGCATTTCAAGGTCCTGGAGTGGCCTAGCCAGTCTCCAGATCTCAACCCCATAGAAAATCTTTGGAGGGAGTTGAAAGTCTGTGTTGCCCAGCGACAGCCCCAAAACATCACTGCTCTAGAGGAGATCTGCATGGAGGAATGGGCCAAAATACCAGCAACAGTGTGTGAAAACCTTGTGAAGACTTACAGAAAACGTTTGACCTGTGTCATTGCCAACAAAGGGTATATAACAAAGTATTGAGAAACTTTTGTTATTGACCAAATACTTATTTTCTACCATAATTTGCAAATAAATTCATTAAAAATCCTACAATGTGATTTTCAGGAAAAAAATTCTCAATTTGTCTGTCATAGTTGACGTGTACCTATGATGAAAATTACAGGCCTCTCATCTTTTTAAGTGGGAGAACTTGCACAATTGGTGGCTGACTAAATACTTTTTCTCCCCACTGTGTCTAGCCAAGCCAGCCAGCTAGCATCTAAGAGATATCTGAACACAGTAAAAGTTATTCAGCAAGTTATATCAACCTCTCCTCTCACCTGTCATTGAGGTTCATCTTCACAGCGGGAGTGGCTGGCTCTGGGGTGCCTCGGAGCACCGTGATGGGGGAGGCGGTGGCCAGGCGCTGGGGGGTGGGTGTTGGAGCGGGGGAGGGGTCCGGGGTAGTCTCCACCACTGGAGGTTTGGGGGCACTGAAGGAGAAGGCCGAGGCTTCGGCGGGGGTCTCAGTCAGGGGCTTGGAGGCGAAGGAGAAGCCAGCGGAGGCTGGGGCCACGCTGAAGGCCGTGTAGCCCCCGAGAGAGAAAGAGGGGGGAACAGCGGAGGAGGAAGGGGGCATGGACAATGAGAAGCCGGGTGAGGAGACTGGAGCTGGGGCAGGGGCTGCGGTGGTGAACAGGGTGGCAGGGGGAGTCTGTGTGGGGGCCGAGGGGGGTCGGAGAGGAGGGAACGCCCGCAGGGCTGACGGGAGAGGGGTTGGGTAAGGGGGCGGGGGAGCTGCAGAACCTGCAATGCAGAGGAGAGCTGCTTTTAGTGGGCCATATCACAACACTATTATAAGTACTCCACACTATGTTAGTAGTATAGGTATTGCAAGTTTCATAAGACAAATGTCTTCAGTGACAGAATAAAAAAACACTATTTGTAAATATGAAGACGCTGCAGAGTTCCTCCAGACCTGCAGGGGGCAGTCTCTCTCCATCCAGGGCCAGGTTGGTGGGGGCAGCGACCAGCTGCTTGGCCCCAGGGTTGAGGTTGAGCAGTGAAAAGGGGCACAACACTCCGTCTGTAGACAGCAGCAGCAGAGTGGGCACCGGGGGCAAAGTCTTCTCATCGGCTGTAACGACATAGGAGAGAGATGTTAGAGAGGGCCAACGAGACATCAAGTGAAGTGCAGTACAACTATAGGTAGTCAGAGAGAAACACACAGGCATACACTTAGACTGCAACACAAAAGCAAACACACAGCCATTGAAAGGCACACAAACACCCACACGGACAAACACACACTAAAGCTCTCAAGGCAGATGCAAGCCCACACACACAAAAGCAGAGACACAAGTACAAGGACAGAGCATAAGAAGTGATATTTCTGTGTGAATTAAGAGACCTCAAGGTCTTAATAAGAAACAAAGCCCCAAGCACCATCACTAAGGCCAGAGTGATGAGACAAATAATGAGTGTGCTTGCCTGAGACACTCTATAGAGAAAACAAAAGTTTGGAAAGCTCAAGGTAAACCTCATCAACATTCTCAGACATACTTGTCTGGCTCTGCTTTTTTTGTTGTTCTTTCATTTGTCTGAGTCATTCTAATGAACGTGGGCCTCACCATCTCTCCCTCGCTCTTTCTCTTCAATACAGCTGAGGTCTCACTTGAGACAGGGTTTGATCAGAGTACAATCATTTTGAAATTCTGCACAAACTGCTGGTTTGGTTTGCTGGAGGAGTCCTTTTGAGTGGGGAGCCCAGACAGCAACATCAGTGGTGCTATGTGACTGTCTGACTGCCTTAAACAGTAGACACTGAGACAGTAGTTTATCACTATTCATCTCACAGCTGCCAAAATAAAATAAAAAAATGCGCTAACCAGCGTTGCCTACCAACTGCTACTGAGGAGATTAACATTGGACAGTGTATAAAAAAAATGTGTAACTATGCTTCTAATTGAAGTGCAACTTTCACTGATCCTGCCATGGTTGACCAACATATCAGCTGATTCCAAATGGTTCACCAGCTTATTTTGCTTGACGCTTCCATGTAGTCTACATTCTCAGATCTGAACAAACTGGACTGGTAACAATATGGCAGATTAGCGGAAGTGTCTGTCAAATAGCTTCCTTTAAAAATTACAAATCCTACTGCGGATCAAGGAGTAAGTGACCGGTTTGGCATGGGGTCATAGAAGAATCTGGAAAGTTGGAAGAGGAGAGAGCAGCAACCACTCACTGATGTGGATCTCCTGCTGGCTGGTGTAGACGATGGCCAGGCCCAAAGGCAGCGTGTCGTCGTTATTCTGAGAGACAGGCAGCTCTCCCCTACTGGCGTCCTCCAGTAGCCACAGCTCCCAGTTGGTCTGAACAACACCACATGGCACAGAGAGGTTACATGACAACATAGACAGTCAGTGGCTCATTTGATCAATATCAGTTGGCCTTTGGGAAGGGAAAGGGGATACCTAGTCAGTTGCACAACGGAATGCATTCAACCGAAATGTGTCTTCCGCATTTAACCCAATCCCTCTGAATCAGAGAGGTGCGGGGGGCTGCCTTAATCGACGTCCACGTCATCGCGCCCAGGGAGCAGTTGTTGTTTGGGGTTAACTGCCTTGCTCAAGGGCAGAACGGCAGGTTTTGCCACCTTGCCGGCTCGGGGATTCGAACCAGCAACTTTTCGGTTAGTGGCCCAACGCTCTTAGCCGCTAGGCTACCTGCTGCCCAGGCTTTGCTACTCTATTATCATTTATCAGAAGATGCTGAGGTGGTGTTTGCTTATGGAAGGTACCTAATGGATCTGACTACGTGCTGCACAAAGACATCTGAAGTTGAGAAATCCACATTGACCCGCTATAGTTTCTAAGACACAAGGTGAGAATCATACCAATGGCTGGTCCCCAAATATTACCTTATCTTCTTGCTTGGCGATGACACTGACTTCAATGGAGGCTGCCGATGCGGCAAGAACAACATCCCTGAAAGAAGGAGAAACAACAATGAGTATATGTGATTCACCAACCTCACAGTTGTTCCTCAAACATTGAAGTGGAGAGCCTGAGGGAAACAGAACAGAGCTTATACCAACTGAGTATGCATACAAAAGCCAATTTCTGCAAACAAGAAAATACGAGCTTTTTAGCTTTCACAGTGTTCTGTGAACAGGCAGGGCAGAATACAGAGTGGGGAGCGTCTCACCAGTCCTCTATGTGGCTGAGGAAGTAGTGGAGCTGTCTCTCTGCGCAGGTGCCGTAGACGGGGTCGTTGAAGTTCAGGTACCTCTCCTCCCTCTTATCTGTCTTTGTCTGTCAGATCAACATGTTAATTGTCAAAATGCCATAATCTATCACTTAGGAGGGAAAACATTTGTCACTGAGTGAAATGAACCTTTTAATATTTTAATAATTAACACTGCAAAATGATCTCATCATTCAGATGTATGACAGACCAGTGGTACTACTCACAGGGAGGGAGATCACCACCAGTTCAGGGGGTGTTTCTGGACAGCCGTCGGCTGCTGCATACGCCACGGCAAACACAAACGTACTCAGCCACTGCACATCCAGCACTGACAGAGAAAGGACAACAAAGAAAACATATATTTGAGATCGGGTCCAGAGAATAAAGGCACTGAAGATGTCTAAAAAGGCTAAGAGGTTTATTGCTTCAGGCCAGCGGGATCTGTGTCTAGTTTACCTTTGACAGGGTTGTCAGAGCTGTAGAAGCTTGGGCAAGGGATCACTTTCTTCTCCTGAAGCCCCTGTTCAGGAGAGCACAGTCAGTCACACCAGGGCGTATAATACATCATACACACGTCACAGGAATAATGTGTGTGTCTACAATTTCCGTACTATACTGCGAGTTGTTGGGACAGACTTACTGGAGTGTACTGACTGACTGTCGCGTTCATTTTTCCTGCTGCCACTTGCTTTCCTTTGGGACTCCAGCATACTGTTTGAAGAGAGAGGATGACAGAAATAGTGAGCAAAACTGTAGAAATGACAATCACATGAAAAATTACAATAATTTCAGCATGTACTCCTCAAAGTGATGACACACTATGTCACACTCACCACAGGTGATTCCTTCGGTGGCGGAGAGCTGGGCCTGCACTGTGACACTGTCTGTGACCTCAAGTACCATCATGCTGCCGTCAGACAGACAGGTGGCCAGCATGGACGCCTGCCCTGGATTCCATTTGAGGTCCTGCACAATTATGCCCAGGCCGACTCCAGGTCGCAGAGTCACAAACGGCAACTTCTGCGGTCGGGCCTGGAGAAAGAGGACAGCCATAGAAATTAGGGGATTAAGTGTGTGGGGAAAATATGGAACTGAAGAAGTGGAGGTGACTAGTCTTAGTGTGCTTGTAGTTGATAAAGCGTGGACTCTGGACTCTGTTTCACCATGACAAAACCGTATCACATCACTCTGAAAAACGTGGTTTTCTAACAAAGATGGACATATTGCCTCTCAAAAAAGCAGGCCATAACATATTCTAATGAAAAAGAGCATATCACATTTCTTGTAGCAGATATTAGAACCTAAACCAATCTATCTGGTCCATTAGCAGTTGGGTGTTGTTATGAGAGTTAGTTAAATCACCTTGTTGATGAAGGTGCGGACGTCATAGAAGGCCAATGACAGGCCAGACTCCTCTGACATGCCGCTGACTGACAGGGTGAGCTCATCACTACTGAGGCCCAGGTTGTGCACAGGCAACTCCACAGGAACATCAGCCAAAGCTGCTATTCCCTCAACTAAGGGAGAGAGAAAGGGGATATGAGAGAGAAGGGAGTAAGATGGAGAGAAAAGGGTAAAATCAAGTAAAATTGCTTAGCAAAAACTGTACAAGATGGAATGACCAATGTAAGGACATTCTTACTTATTTCATTGGAGTTCCCATCAACTTTGTCTGCAGCTAGGATGTCCCGCGTGAGGTACACCTTGATCTTTCTGTCTAGTCCGACAAATGTCAGTCCGAATTTGTTGGAGACGGCGAGCAGACTTGATCTGTCCTTTGGCAGGTCATCAGGTGAATCAAATACCCGGGTTTTCTTCATTTGCCGGAACTGAAAATCCTGCATAAAAGAATAATAAAATACTTAATAACCGTGATGGCACTGAATGTCCCTTGTACTGTAGGCTACTGGTTTAAGATCCGTAAAGAACATTGACTATGTTAACAAAAATATATTGTTGATAGGATTGTAAATAAGTCAACTAGGTAGTTAGTGGTGGTTTTTATAGTACTACTACCACCAATGTTGCGATAGCTAGCAGCGGAATGAATGCCTCCTGCAATAAATGCTCCTATTATGGATGTCGCTAGAGTAGCATTTTAAAGAGGTGCATTTAAAGGGAAGGACATCAGTAGTAAGACTCCAAACTCTGGATGTTGGACAATTTTAACAGTGAATTTGAATAGTGTCATGTTTTCATTAAGGCATATCTATTCATCCAACAACAAACAAAACACGTTATTATTTCAAGAATTTGAAGTGATTAATAGAATTAAAGGTGTATTTCAGGATATCAAAATTAGGTAACGTTTTACTTGACACCCAGCATTATAACACATTATGACAGTCATAACCATGTAATAATGTCATAACATGGGCCATAACACTGTCCTAACCCATATATTTACACCTGTTGTGACATACACTATATATACACAAAAGTATGTGGGGACTCTGGACTCTGTTTCACCATGACAAAACCGTTGTCACCAGCTGCATTAAGTACTGCAGTGCACCCATTAAGTCCTAGCCCTCACCCTCCGATCCAACAGGTCCCAGACGTGCTCAATGGGATTGAGATCCGGGCTCTTCGCTGGCCATGGCAGAACACTGACATTCCTGTCTTGCAGGAAATCAGAACGAGCAGTATAGCACAGAACGAGCAGTATAGCTGGTGACACCATCAAATTAGTGGATTCGGCTATTTCAGTCACTCCCGTTTCTGACAGGTGTATAAAATCGAGCACACAGCCATTCAATCTCCATAGACAAACATTGGCAGTAGAATGGCCTTACTGAAGAGCTCAGTGACTTTCAACGTAGCACTGTCATAGGATGCCACCTTTCCAACAAGTCAGTTTGTCAAATTTCTGCCCTGCTAGAGCTGCCCTGGTCAACTGTAAAATTATGTTATTGTGAAGTGGAAACGTCTAGGAGCAACAACAACTCAGCCGTGAAGTGGTAGGCCACACAAGCTCACAGAACGGGACCGCCGAGTGCTGAAGCGCGTAAAAATAGTCTGTCCTCGGCTGCAACACTTACTACCGAGGTCCAAACTGCCTCTGGAAGCAACATCAGCACAATAACTGTTCGTCGGGAGCTTCACGAAATGTGTTTACATGGCCGAGCAGCCGCACACAAGCCTAAGATCACCATTCGCAATGCCAAGCCTGCTCGTGGCTGAATGGAAGCAAGTCCCTGCAGCAATGTTCCAACATCTAGTGGAAAGCCTTCCCAGAAGAGTGGAGGCTGTTACAGCAGCAAAGGGGGGACCAACTCCATTTTAATGCCCATGATTTTGGAATGAGATGTTCGATGAGTAAGTGTCCACATACTTTTGGTCATGTAGTGTATATTGTGTTATTTTATGGCTGGTTATGACACCTACATAAGAGTGTCAAAACCCACATTTATTCTAATGTGTTTTTTCCCTGCCAAGAAGTTTCCGTTCGTTTGAAATGTGTTTCTTAAGTCCTATGTTGTTGTTATGAATTCTTTATAGTCAAGTTTTTTCCCCCATCATATTTTAAATAACTTGCAGAAAACACACTTTATGACACTCATGAAGCATTACGACCATCCTGTGTCACTTTACATGGACTAAGAAAATACACTTTATGTCACCGTCAAGAAGCATTGACCATCATAGGCCTATCTGGCTTCTATGATTATCACGTACATGCCCTTATGTGAGTCATCAGTCCAAAATAGGGTGTCTTGTCCTGCTCCTGAAATCTGCTCCTGCATTCATCCCAGACATCAGCAAAAGAGCATTGGTGTAGCTGCGTGTCTGACATAATTTTGTACGCAATTACAATGATAATTTAATATGGTCAATTTCTGAAAATGTTATATAAACATCCTGTTGACAAGTAGGCTATGGTGTAATGGAATGGGGGAATAGATTGTAACTTCCATCAATGTAATTGTCTGCATTACTTCCAATCCCCACATGTTTTTTCTCCCTCGCATATATATATATATATATATATATAAAATAAACGTCCTCTCACTGTCAACTGCGTTTATTTTAAGCAAACTTAACATGTGTAAATACTTCTATGAACATAACATTCAACAACTGAGACATAAACTGAACAACTTCCACAGACATGTGACTAACAGAAATTGAATAATGTGTCCCTCAACAAGGGGGGGTGGGGGGGGGGTGCACTGCATTAAGTACTGCAGTGCACCCACTAGTATTCACTAGTCCTAGCCCTCACCCTCCGATCCAACAGGTCCCAGACGTGCTCAATGGGATTGAGATCCGGGCTGAGATCCGGGCTCTTCGCTGGCCATGGCAGAACACTGACATTCCTGTCTTGCAGGAAATCACGCACAGAACGAGCAGTATGGCTGGTGGCATTGTCATGCTGGAGGGTCATGTCAGGATGAGCCTGCAGGAAGGGTACCACATGAGGGAGGAGGATATCTTCCCTGTAACGCACAGCGTTGAGATTGCCTGCAATGACAACAAGCTCAGTCCGATGATGCTGTGACACACCGCCCCAGACCATGACGGACCCTCCACCCCCAAATCGATCCCGCTCCTGAGTACAGGCCTCGGTTTAACGCTCATTCCTTCAACGCGAATCCGACCATCACCCCTGGTGAGACAAAACCGCGACTCGTCAGTGAAGAGCACTTTTTGCCAGTCCTGTCTGGTCCAGCGACGGTGGGTTTGTGCTCATAGGCGACGTTGTTGCCGGTGATGTCTGGTGAGGACCTGCCTTACAACAGGCCTACAAGCCCTAAGTCCAGCCTCTCTCAGCCTATTGCGGACAGTCTAGGCCAGGGTTCTTCAATTCCAGTCCTGGAGGGCCGAAACACTTCTGTTTTTTATTTCTACCTGGTAGTTAATTGCACTCACCTAAAAAAACAAAAATAACAAAAACTTTCACAATCTATAGCAAAAAATATATATACTGAATTTACTTATATTTATAAGCTTAATATAGCTACGGTAATATTTATCTATGCATAGTGACTTTACCCCTACCTACATGTACATCTACTTGAACTCCTGAGTGGCGCAGTGGTCTAACTGTGCCACTAGAGATCCTGGTTCGAATCCAGGCTCTGTCGCGACCGGGAGACTCATGGGCGGCGCACAATTGGTCCAGGGTAGGGGAGGGAATGGCCGGCAGGGATGTAGCTCAGTTGATAGAGCATGGCGTTTGCAACGCCAGGGTTGTGGGTTCGATTCCCACGGGGGGCCAGTATAAAAATATGTATTCACTAACTGTAAGTCGCTCTGGATAAGAGCGTCTGCTAAATGAATTAAATGTAATGTACATATTACCTCAATTACCTCGACTAACCTGTACCTCCACACATTGTACCGGTACCCCCTGTATAGCCTCGTTATTGTTATTTTGTGTTACTTTTTTTTACTTTGGTTTATTTAGTCAATATAAATCTTATTTTTCTTAAAACTGCATTGTAGGTTAAGGGCTTGTAAGTAAGCACCTGTTGTATTCGGTGCATGTGACAAATACAATTTTATTTTACACCAGTAATGCCTGTCCTACTAGTGACATGTATGCCTTTCTGGACTCTGTCAAAGACTATGCAAAGTTCATAGATTAAGACTTCAAAAAGTCATGTGATGAATTTCTCTATTATTGAAATTAAAAAAATGTATCAGCAAGTTAAAAGAGAACAAATCTCCAGGGAATGATGGCATTATTAGTGAATTCTATGAAGATTTTCAGGAGGATATTGTTGAATTTACATTTAATGTCTTTAAGGAGGCAATTGACTTAGGGGTCCGGCCTGTTTCTATGACTCAAGGCCTCATTTCTGTAACTCCCAAAACAAACAAATCCCATGATCATAGAACATTGCAGACCAATCATAATAATGAACAATGATGGAAAGCTACTAGCATCCATCTTTGCAGAAAGACTTCAAAATGGTCTTGACCAAGTCATTGACGATACCAATCTGGTTTTATGAAGGGCAGACATACAGTGCACTCTGAAAGTATTCAGACCCCTTCACTTTTCCACTTTGTTACGTTACAGCCTTATTGTAAAATTGATCAAATATTTTTTCCCTCAATCTACACACAATACCCCATAATAGCAAAGCAAAAACAGGTTATACATTTTTGTAAATGTATTAAAAAGGAAATACCACCTTTACATAAGTGTTCAGACCCTTTACTCAGTACTTTGTTGAAGCACATTTGGCAGCGATTACAGCCTCAAGTCTTCTTGGGTATGACACTACAAGCTTGGCACACCTGTATTTGGGGAGTTTCTCCCATTCTTCTCTGTAGATCCTCTCAAGCTCTTTCAGGTTGGATGGGGAGCATCACTGCACAGCTATTTTCAGATCTCTCCAGAGATGTTCGATTGGGTTCAAGTACGGGCTCTGGCTGGGCTACTCAAGGACATTCAGAGACTTGTCCCGAAGCCACTCCTGCGTTGTCTTGGCTGTGTGCTTAGTGTCGTTGTCCTATTGGAAGGTGAACCTTCGCTCTAGTCTGAGGTCCTGAGCGCTCTGGAGCAGGTTTTCATCAAGGATCTCACTGTACTTTGCTCCGTTCATCTTTCCCTCGATCCTGACTAGTCTCCCAGTCCCTGCCGCTGAAAAACACCCCCACAGCATGATGTTGCCACCAACATGCTTCACCGTAGGGATGGTATTGGCCAGGTGATGAGAGGTGCCAGGTTTCCTCCCCGAGGACAGACAGTTTTTACGCACTACGCGATTCAGCGGTCCCGTTCTGTGAGCTTGTGTGGCCTACCACTTCGCGGCTGAACCGTTGTTGCTCCTTCACTTTTCCACTTCACAATAACAGCACTTACAGTTGACTGGGGAAGCTCTAG